TTCTGCTTAAGGAAGGGGTCTTCCTCATCCTTTTCAATTTTTCCGATTTTTGCCTCCAGTTTTTTCATTTTGGCAATTTCTCTCTTCTTGTTTCGCATTTTTGCTTCGATCACTTTCTTAATTGGCATTTTCGTAATTCTGTTAATGCTGCTCTTGTATTGATTTAGGATGGATTTGTCGATTGGGATAACTTTCCTTCTAAATTTCTTTTCTTCCTCCACAAACCATTCGGGCAGCGTGTCTTCATCTTCCAAATAAGAATGCCTATTGTACGAATCATCTATGAGATCCATTCTGCTTTTTTTATGAATTAATTTTTCTCCGATGCATTTTATGAATGCCAATTCATCTTCGTCTTTAAGTAGGTCGGAAAAATATGCGCCTACATTGCTTTGCCCTCTATCATCCGTTTTTACAATTGAGAACGTTGTGTTCTTCATCTTTACTTCGTTGTTTCCATATTTTTCTCTTAATTTTTTGTTTCTCTCCTTTCTTGCTAGCTTGTTTGGGAGTGGGATGTTGGGCAATTGGCTGTCGTCCACTTCGTTGAACTTTTCGTCATCATCCGCGTCGCTACTCGCATCCTCAACCGTGTCAACATCCATATCGTCATCTTCATCGTCACCCGCAAGGTCACCCTTACGTGCTTTGGAACCTTTGGGGCCGTCCTCCACAGCACCACTATCATCCAACTCACCATCCATCTGATTAAATATGGTGGAAAATATTTTTTGGTCAAAAAAACGATTTACATTGGATTTTTCTTCTTCCCTTTTAACATGTTTTCTTAAGCGAATTATCTTGTCTACCATTTTGTGTATGTGTTCATTTTGTTGTAGAGCCTCTGCATAAGCATGATTCTCATCGTTCTTCATTTCGTCATTGCCGCGTTTTCCGGGGTCAGAGTGTTCCTCATCATCCTCGCTGCCCTCATCAGTGTCATCCTCATCAGTCTCATCCTCATCACTGAGATACTCTTGCAATTTCCTCTTCATCATTAACTCTTCATTTTTCAACTCCATGATTTTCTGTATTTTCATCAACTCTTCGTTCTTGTATTCCATTGCTCTTTTTCGCCTGGTCAATTTCTCGTTGTTTTTCTCTGCGTTCATTTTTTTTTCCTTCATTTTTTGCTGTTCATAATCCAAATTGACAAGATATTCTATGCGGTCCATTGGGGACTCATTTATATCGCCTAGCTGCGCATTGTCCTCCTTCTCGCTGGACGAATCATTTTCTTGGTTAATCTCCAGCCTGTCGTTATTTTTGCTGCTACTCAGTATGTTGAGGTGATCCTCGAACGACTGCTTATCGAGCAACTTTAACATATTTTTGTTGAAATGTATTTCATTTTCATCATAATCTGGCTTCATCGGTTTGTTCATTTTTCTTTTCTCTAGTTCTTTTTTCAATTTTTTCTCTTTTTTTTTTTGTTCCTTTTTATTCTTTTTTTCCATTTGTGTGGAGAATTCGTTTATTTCGTCTTTTTCCGACTCGGCGTCGGAGGAACCACTCAGTTCGTCGTCCTGTAGCGAAGCTTGCGTGGTGCCAGTTCGTGTTTCCTCGATAGGAGTGTCTTCCTTCACGGGGGGCACCACTTGACTGGCTTCTTCCTCCTCTTCGTCATCTTCATCTAGCACTTGACCCGATTGTGCTTCTTCCCCCACGCTTACGATGCCCTTCCTAACTTTGTACCTCCACTTGATAAGGTGAAACAAGTCTGACTTGCCCAGAACCTTAAGATCTTTGCAGAGTTGCAGAATCTCCTGTGTGGTGCTGGGGTTTTTATATATGGCCGTATACGTATTCCTAACCAAGGGGTCCTCCGAAGTGAGGTAGTCCTTATCGAAGGTGAATTTGTTTGTTTTGATAAGTAAATCAACATAATTATCACTATGTATAAAATTACATATATCTGTGACACGATAATCATCCCCGAGGTCATATCCCTGTCTATTTTTCTTTTTCTTTTCTTTTAAAATGGTTGACAGTCCTTTTTTTTTTTTGTTTTTTTTTTGGTTTTCCTTTTCATTATCACTAGAATCGGTAAAAATATCATTGTCGCTGTCATTGTTTGTAACTGCCTTATTGGAGTCTTGCTTAAACTGTTCACTAAAAACATAAGTATAATCGAAGAGTTTCTTATCCACCTTAGCACTTAGAAAATTCAAACCGATTAGATAAATTTCGGAGGATATTTCTCTACTACTTCTTGGTTTTATATGTTTAACTTGGCCAAATAATTTTTCCATAACCCATATTAGGGATACATATTCTTCATTTCGGAAAACTTTGGTAATAAAGATACCTCTTTTTTTTAAAAAAAGATTTGCTATTTTGATGCTATTAAGGACAAGAATATTTTGATTAAAGCTGTCATATGAGTATGTTGTTCCTACATTGGGTGCCCCATCATTTAAAATCACATCAGCCTTTTCATTTTTAATTATATTTTTAATCTGCTTAATGCAGGCACTTGTAGTTATATCACATTTTAAAGTAATGACATTATTATCTATTTTCCTGATGGGCACTAAATCTACTCCTATGATGGTACTACTCCTTTTCATATTTTTATATGCCACTTGCAACCATCCTCCTGGTGCTGCACACAAATCTATTAGTATGTTTGCATCTTTAAAAATGTTATACTTTTGGGCTATTTGAATTAGCTTGAATGCAGATCTGGCTCTGTACCCTGCCGACTTGGCTAGTTTGTAGTACTTGTCAATTCTCTCCTTTCCGACTTTTTTCTTCTTCCCCATTTTGTTCCCTTTACTGGATATGTCTCGTCTGCTTCAAAATTGTGCCGCACTGTTTTTCGCGCTAACCCGGCAATTATATGGCACGGAAGATATATGTACCAATTAAAACCGGACGGGGGGGAGAGAGATGGTTGGGGACCATATCCTTCTTTTTGTTGTGCCTCCACGACGCAGGAGAATTTTTTTCCTACCCCTTGAGGTGATAATCTCTATTTTGCTAGCAAACTTTTATAATGGTCACCAAAGAGAACTATCCTTACACGCTCTTTTTTTCTGTATACATTGAGTGGGTGCTATAAAAAGTGTCATTCAGAAGGCAGCCACATGTTCGTATCCGCGCGTTACTTAATCCACCTTTACAATGTATATATTATCCCTATTCAGGGGAAAAATAACTTATCCTTCTTTTCCTGCAAAACAATGCATATGTATACCAACTCGAAGTTGCGACCTTTTTATGGAAAAGGGATCCACTTTTTTTTTTATTGAAAAAATTTAGGAAAAAGAAAGGATGCCTTTGATGCTGTAGAAAACAAATAACGTCTTCATTTTTAGAAATATATGCTGTTATTATTTAGGGGCATAAATTATGATTTTTTTTTTTTTTTTTTTTTTTTTTTCCGTTTTGGCTATATATTACCAGGCGGGGCACTGAGAAAGTATATATTTTATGCCCATTTTATTTATTGTTGCCTCAACAAATGACCGCAAAATAATTCTGTGGCTCCGAAAATTTTCGCGTAGCCGTCGTCATAATTATATAATATTTACGCCTTGTTCTGCTAAGCATAATTTTTTTCCCTTTTCCATGCTACGCCCTTTTTTTTTTTTTTTGGTGGCACTTTTTTAGCTAACTCTTTCGAATTTTTCGTCATCCTTGTGCTTGTTTTGGGAACACCATTTTTCTATCAGCTTTTCCGCCTTCTTATCTTTTTCTAAGCAATTTTAAATCGCATTATGTCCTTTTCTCGGTCACCGCCTTTTCCATTTGTATGGTGGTACAGAGGGAGGAATTTTTTTTTTTTTTTGCTCAATTTTGGAATTAGCCACCGGACGCACAGCGCAATTAATTGGGAGGTTGGGCCTTCCATATGTGCAAAGGAAAAAGCGTCTGGGGAGTATTGAAACAAAAAAAAAAAGTATGCATACCAAACTGAAAAATACATCAGTGGCACATGTGTCACGTGACTTTTCTCCCTATGTGCTTATCATGTCTCAGCGTTGCTCATAAGATAACTTTTATTTTAAAATGGGAGTAGTGGACGGGCGTCTACAAGGGCTCCTATTCCGCTTTTTTGTGTTAGGGAAAAGCCGTATAAATAGAGCGCATTTTCGGCAGCCTCTCTCACATAGGCATATGCAAGCGGACATGGTGAAGAAGCTCTGGGAGACGGCGCAATAGACTCGGAAAATTTTCACGAGATATTTTATTTTTCTTAAATTTGAAAAAAACAAACAAAAAAAAACGGCATTTGTTCTGACTGCCACATGGGGTTTCTCTATTTTCTTTGCTATAACATGTATACACAAATTTTTGCTTTTTTGGAATGGGAGGACGAAAAGGGCGTGCGATACCTGCATGCCATTTTTATCCGGCAGAGGTACATGACCCATTAATATTGTGCAAGCAGGGTGATGAGCATAAATTGCGCAGAAACTGCATAGCGGCTTAAATGCCGTAGGGACCAAAAAGTTAGAGGAAAAAAGTTGCACGCACGGGTAGATCTATCTAAGGGCACCTATCCGTATGCGTAGGTACGCGGGACATGCACACATATGGACGCATACATACAGGTGCACTGCGGCTTAGAGCTTTTACAATTGCATGTGATAAAAAAAAAAAAAAGAAAAAAAAGAAACAAGAGATTATTGGCGCAACTTTAAACAGGAAAAACGGGAAACCAAAAAAGATTACCAAAATGTGTAGCAACGATGAGGAAAAAGATAGGGCAGAAAAGGGGACAAATAAAAGGGCAAAATAAAAGGCGCTAATTGTGCACGGTAGTTATCATCGATGCATGAAAACAAAAACAATTTAAAAAATGTAAAAATAAAAAGTAAAAGAATATTCCTCGGTAGTGTCTAAGTGTCTAAGTCAGTTGAATATCCCCGATGGACACAATTGCCACGATTAATCCGTAAAGCCCTGAAAAAAAAAAAAAAAAAAAAAAAAAAAAAATTACACATTTGGTGTACATGAGCACATTAAGTTGCAACTTCTCTCCCATAAATATCTTAGCTGGGAAGACCCATGCACACAACTACATTGTAAATGCAGTAGTCGCACTCCCTCATTTGATTGTGCGAAAGATTAAACAAACCTATAACACTAGCACATATTTCAATCATCAGCATTCTAACGAAAAGGTCCGAATTGTGTGCATCTCCCAAGGCGCATGAGCTGCCCGTTATTCCTACGGAAACCCTGCAAAAAAAAAAAAAAAAAAAAAAAAAAAGTGACGATGTTACAGAACGAAATGAGAAAGCTAAAATGTGAATTTTATGTACCACGCTTATATGTTATATCATAAGTGTGGACACGGGAGTGATTCACAAAGACGCAGTGATAGGTGCCCCCTCCGTGCGTTACGAAAAGCGCTATTTATTGTATCTCTCGAATTGTCTCAATTTAAGGCTCTAGTGCATTCGTTTTTTTTTTTCTTTTCTTTTTGCCTCCTTATTCTAGGGCTATTGTGTAGATCTCCCGTTTTTTTCCTTTTGCTTACCCAGAAACGAGGTTGGACAAGCCTGCCGTGAGACCACTAGCAAACAGGGCCCATCCCCCTCTGATGGTGTTCATAATAAGTGCATCCGTCTTGGTTGTTAGCACCAGTGGGGCGTGTACTTCCTTGCTGAGTCCACTAAATTTAATTTGAAGAAAAACTGCAGTGATGACTCCATACATGCCTACGGAGGGGGGGGGAGGCAGGTGCGCGATGATAATGGCGAAAATGTATATCATACGCTGTGAATAGCGTCTTAATGGATTGCCTTAAATGGAGGCATTGTGCTGTTCAGTACACTGTTCGTCGAGCTGCCCTGTCGTGCAACGCCGCTCTGCTTACCGAGTGCTTCACAAAATATAATGGAAATCAAATTTTTCGAAATGATACGTGGGGATTTCACCGAGGCTCCCACTATGCTCGTCCCGCAAATGAATATTCCCCTGCGGTGGGAAGAAAGGGGTGAAGAAAAGGACATGAATTGGGCACGCGTTATGGCTGCGATATGAAAGTCCACTTGGCACGTTTGCATATGCGGAGTGGGACGGCCTACAAATGGCAATCAGGACAACAGCGCCAAATGGTGCCACTCTCTCCGCACAACGATGCAATATATAATAGCTCTACGTGATGTATTTTATTTCCATGTAGCTTCCTCCAATTTGTGTGTACCATGCTGCGCCGATGATGGAGAGGAACAGGGCCATGGCTATGCCCAGCATTGCCCAGTTGTAGGGCGAAATGGATCGGATTATTTCAAACCACGAGTTATACATATTTATAAGATCTTCTTAATTGGGGGTTGTTTTGTTTTCACTTGAGATTACATTAACTAGGAAGGTGGGAATACGAATTATTTTGTTTTTTTTTCTTTTCGAGCTGACGAATGGGGGACGCAACAAATGTCCATAGCCAAATGGGCCTTCCTTTTTTGTGTTTGAGTATCACAAATTAGGGATATTTTCCTTCTGCGCAGGAACGCGTTGCGCGTTTAGCTGATCTGTAAATATATATATATGTTAAAAGTGTTCTTGCGTGGATATCCCTCCGTTTATGCGTGTAACGCCTTCTCCTTTTTCAGATTCCTACCAAATAAAATGTGCTTTCCGAGTTCAAAATGTCACGCCAAGCAAGCAGCAACATGCATAAAGTATACGTTTTTTTGCTTTTGTTTATTTAAACAATTGTATAGCATTGCTGTGTATGTATGTTATGCGGTTCGAGGGGGGGATTCTTCGTTTGAATTGTAACAGGCGCCAAATGCCCTCTTTCTTTTTCTTTTCTTCTGCTAATTTGTAGCTCTTCTCTTTCCATGTGCTTTTCCACAATCCATGCATGACATGTTAAGAAAAATTTTTATAAATATATTCGTATTCGTAAAGTGTAATTTTTTTTTTTTTTTTTTTTTAATCCCTAACTTGCGACAATTTTTGAGTCAAAAAGGGGGGAGGAAAAAAAAAAAAAAAACGTGAATTTTGGAAAGGGTATGCATTTTTACAAACGTGAAATGTTTTACTTAACTTTATCGCTCCTTCGACTTTTTTTTTTTTTTCTTTTTTTTCTCTTGTTCGTTTTTTAATTTTTTCCTCTTATCATGCTGGTATACAAAGTTGGATCGCACGGAGAATGGGCAAGTTCGTTGTTGCGTGTTGGACGCGCGGCAGTTGCTTTGCTGAAAAAATAGCAGCAAAAAATTGCCACAAAATTGTTGCCAAACTGATGTCACTTTTCGCTTCCCCCTCCCACCTGTTCCTTTTTTCCTCTTTTATCAAACCGTGATTTGTTTAACATTTTTTTTTCCCCAGGAGGAAACTGCACGAGCTGTTCTTCAAAAGGGTCAAACAAATGGCAAGCAGAAGTGATACACCTCAGGAGAGGATTATGGCGTATATATAAATATGGACAATACAAGGTACGCCGTTGTGATAATATGCAAATGCGCTGCAGCGTGAATGAGTGTTATGCTCTGCGTATTTGGAGGGGGAAATTGCGGAAGGCTCAGGCCAGCTTCCACGTCGAAAGAGCAACCAAATGAAGGACGCCCCGTAGTTCCTTAAAAGAAAAGAACTTTATTTGTTGCTACGCCAAATGTGCGTGGTCCGAAGGGCGAAATGTAACCTGGTTGTACATCTATACATATATGCATGCGTGCCTACCGAACCTGTGTTGTTGTGTGAAGGACGGATGACCAAAGGAAAGTGGGGAGGAAAAAAAATGGAACAGATATTCATCGGTATATTTCTCACTTGTGTGCACTTTTTGGCCCATGTAGGAAACAAAAAAAAAAAAAAAAAAAACGGACAGGACATGGGCAAAACGATGTACAAAACAAATCACATGGCCCACTGTCTTCTTTTTCATAAAGGGAGCGGCGACATTTTGTTAACCGTGTGAGGCCCCCATAAGCAGCAACTTTTTTTTGCTCAGTTCACGAATAAGCCAAAAGGAACATATGTTTAAACAACAGGAAATTGTAATGCCACACATCATCCCGTCAGTTGTCCCTCCGATGGGATACATGTTGACCTATATATAGCTACGCTTATTTGTGCAGCTCATTTTTTTTTTTTTTTTTAAAGAGAGCAAACTGTAGACCGGTTTTTCCTTTGTGTGTGCGTAATGTTGTTGGATCTCCGCGTGAGTACATGAAAATAACACCATTTAGGGTTTTTGATTCGTTTGTTTCCATTTCGGTTCCAACATGATGCATCGTTTGAGGGTGACGCGGGTTATTTAATTCACCCATTTAAGCTGAAAAAATGGAGAGCGATTATCTTCCCCTGTGGCAATATCGTGGGCAGTTACAATAAAGGACTCCGTTTAAATGTACCCTATGTGATCCGCCATTTTGTAAAGACATAGATAATAAGATAACACATGAGAGGAAAAAAAAAAAATCACTCCTCCAATAAAGCCATATAAAAAAAAAAAAAAAAACAGAATAAAACACAATTGCGTAAAAATTGATGTCTCGAATAGAATTATAATCGTTTCGGTTTCATCAGAAAAAGATCACCCTTGTCTGATGTGTGGACTCTACATGTTTTTCTCTCCTTATCGTATGCATACAATTTTATGAACATTTCGCATGTACCATTTTGCCCTTATCCTACATATGAACAGCGCTGTGCACGTCGCAGCAAGTGTTTACACATGGCTTTGGAAGGAGTCCTCAAAATTTGAATTCATTCTTCACGACTTTTATTATATGTATGCTAAGTACGAAAGCAGCACAATGGATTGAAAGAACTCACATTGGACTAAAAAAAAAAAAAAAAAAAAAAAAAAAAAAAAAAA